GAATTAAGATTAATATTACCTGAAATCAGCTATATTTTATGGATTGGTTTTTTAGCCATATTTGCCGCCTACTTTGGTCAGTGTTGCTCCACCTAATACTCAGACTGCTGGCGATCCTGAAGTTTTTCTGAAGGAATTATTAGCGCAAGAGTAGTTAGCATAATTTTTATAAATCGCTATATTTAATGTAGCTGAGTGTTTTCTGTTCTGCGAATATTTTTGGGAATAATCGAAAATGTTTTGCAGAAAAAGGTACTGGCTCATCTGATGTCCGTTTATACGTTTATGGGTGATGGATTGCTGAAGAAGGATAACGATTTAACGCTGAGTGTAATCGAGCAAACATTGAATGTGCTCTTCTCAACCGTTATGGATGAAAAGGTTTTAATTTTGTTTTTTATGTTGATATTAAAAGTAAAACTATCTTGATAACTCTATAGATGGGGAATGTATTCGGAGTGGCTCAAATGATAAAAAGTGCCAACAGCAGTCACCCAGATACTGGACTGCCGATGGTCCCCTTTTACAGAGATTGCAAAAAAGCAGACTGCTGATGGTTTTCGTCCCCTAAAATAGTATAATATTAATTAATTATTGAAAAGTATGAAAAAAATCATAGAAGGACTGACTGTTCCACTATCACTTCTTCTTGAACGTTGCCCCTGTTGGACTACATGAAATGCTTTGACGACTTAAATAAAGTGCAAAAATAAAAGTTATTTTGTGCAAAGTCATTTAACGCTGTTGTGAGAAAGTAGGCGAAAAAGGCATGAAGGAGCATAGCTATTTTAAAATAACATTTTAAGGTCCTGTGTTTCCTTCATTTATTTATTGAACAATAAAAATTCTCCTTTGAAATGTTCTTATTTTTCTCATGTAACATTTTCAGGATCCATCATTTTATGATCAAATAATAACAACCTCTCGACTGTTTGCTGCATCGATCGCCGACATACCGGCACATCGTCGTGAAAGCATTTTACGTGCGGTTGCACGCTCCACAACATCACGTTATGTCTGGA